GTGTAGGTAGGTAGATAGATAGATAGATAGATAGATAGATAGATAGATAGATAGATAGATAGATAGATAGATAGATAGATACTTTATTAATCTCACAAAGAGTTCAAAGGACACTGAAAAAGAAAAGTTATTGTACAGACACATTGGAAGCATGGTTGGTTGAATGTGTGTGTGTGTGTGTGTGTGTGTGTGTGTGTGTGTGTGTGTGTGTAGTTACAGTGTGCAGAAATGTATATGTACGATTCTTCCTTTAGACTGAATATTTATCTCGCTGCTTCAATAAACAACTTCTGTGAAAGATGAAAGGTGTTGCCGGCCAATTCTGTCTTTTCATAAAAAAATCAGATGCTCTAGGTTTTTTTTTTTTTTTTTTTTGTCAGCAACAAAAGATGAAAGCATTAAAAAAAAGCTGCAGAAAAACCCTTTCTACCCTTTTAGTTGTCGCCACCGGCAGGAGAAATCGCTCAATGATTTCTTTGGTATCTTATCTTTCCACTGGGTACTTATTTGCTAATCACGGCCAATTAAGGCTGATTTAAAGAAATGTGTGCATGTGTGTGCATGCTGTTGTTAAATTGCTGTTATGGATTCTCCCGTGTTTCATAACTAATTAAGGGAAGAGAGAGCATCACAACAAACGTTCGACAAAGTCTCTGCGTTGCCCTGGGAAATATTTGGCCGGCTTGTTATTTCCTGCTGCTCGCAGCAGCGTTATGAGAGAGGAGGATAATTATTGCAGGCAAATTTAACGCTGCCGTCAGAAAAGCACAATTTAACACCTTATTAATCCAGATATATAACAGTGTAAGTTCAGGAGAGTGTAACTGCTGTGTGTTGACAACAAAAGTGGTGACAGCTTTTTTTCTTTCCTTTTCTGCTGCTTATGCTGAAGTTTGTCTTTTCGAGTGCTAAAGAGTTGCAACGTTAATGTGAGCTGATGTGAAGCAGAAGTGCAAAAGTGAAGATCTAAAGTTGCAATTAAAGGTGATTGACACGTTTAATTTTGCTGTTTCTGTTCAGGGATTCTCGCAAAAACACATCAAGATCTAACAGCGTTGACAAATGTTAAGTATTTACTTTTTTTTTTTAGGAATAACTTGTGAAAGTAATTAAAAAGAGCCATTAGCTTCACTTTTCTGACCATGTTTACTTTATTTTCGGTGTGCTGCTGTATTATCTTTGTCCCATCAATGTATATGAAGAACCTAGACACACTAATGCTGACGCTTAAAAGTGAAATCAATTCGGAAGTGACTTAAACCTTTTTCACGGCCAGCAGGGGGCGACTTGTCAGGTTGCATAAAGAAGTCTGACTGTCTAGAAGCCTATGGGAAAATGCATTGACCTCAGCTAACACTATCCTAATCAGATAATTGTCTCAAACCTTATTTTCAAGTCATTTTTAATTTGCCATGGTGTTTATTTTCAAAGTATGGGTCAATTTAAAGTAAAATATGAAGTAAAATAAGGGCATGATTTATGTTCTCAGTCAAGCCTTCCTCTTTCCTGTGACATCAGATAAAAAAATACAACAAACTACATGCTACAGTAATGTATCATGGGTTAATAGTTAACCTTTTCTATGCAGGTGTAAGATTGCGACATTAACACAACCATAAGATTTTGTTCCAAAGCGCTTTTAGTGAAATCAAAAGGCTACTTGTAATTTCAGAAAAAATTTGTCTTAACTGGTGGTTTAGGCCCTACCCATACAAAAGTTGCTCTCAAAATCTCAGTCTTAAGGCAAAGAGAGAGATGTATAAAAAGACGGTGGCAAAATACACAATCACAGAACCCACTGAAAGGGCAGAAGAAGAGTCATACTTTATATTTGACTTGTGTCTCAGCAGTAAATGGTTTGCTACGGTAAACCGCCTTCGCCTTTTCCTCCTACTGTGACAAACGAAGGCCAGACTGACTGATGAAAAACACAGGAAAACTAACAATATGTAACACCTTCCATTTCAGAGAAGAAATATGAGAATTGATGACAAATGACTCAAGGTCAGGAGGCCATTTGGCACAGTAATGGGTTATGGCTTGCGGCCACAGCATGAAATGGAGGGATGTGCTGGGCTCCAAATGACATTTCCTGCGGTGTGTTTTAACTGCGTGCATATAGGGTATATTGATTTGGCCGTGGGGAAGCGTAAGCATCCATAATGTTCGGTCATGCATGCTAAAATTAAAATTCTAAGACACATGGATGTGTTATGACTGGAAATTGCAAAATTATCAAAAATTTCTTGGTGAGGAAAAGAAAAGTCTGGAGAACTCCAGAGTCCCTTGGAATTTGTCTTATCACTTATCATCTTGTAATTGTAATGTCTAAAACTCAAACCCTGAAGACCTAAAAGTAATAAGTAGTACAACACAAAATTTAATGTCATTCATCCGTCCATCCATTCTCTTCCACTTATTCGATTCAGGGTCGTGGGTGGAGCCTATCCCAGCTTCCATAGGGCGAGGTACACCAATTTATTTAGCCACGCTATCATACATGCTAATGTTTGTGGTCTTCGTCATAGCATGAAACAAGGAGGTTGTATCCTTAATTTGTATAGTTCCATCTGTCAGATGATGGTTTAAAATTGGTGTAACTGTGTAATCACGGTCTGTGTTTGTGCTACCTATTAGCTTTGGGTATTCAATGCTGGAGTTATATATACCGACTGTATTGAGAAGATTGCATCCTCTTCAGAGACTGCAATATCTAAAACTTTGTAAACCACACCGTTTTATATACATATATATACCTGAGCTATGCACCAGATCCAACCCCAAAGATCAAACCAGGGATCTTTAGCTCTTTAGGCAAATTTGTAACCCACACTGCAGACTCTATATACGTGTCTTACATATCGTAATATCAGTTCTTATACTGATATAGAAAAACACAGTCTTCTTTCTTACCTGTTTGGCTGGGTCCTTCTTGACCAGTCCGGTGGCAGCGGCGATGGTGCCCGCGCCCTCCACGGTTTTCTGGGCCACGGCAGTAACTCCAGTAACCACTGCTCCACCCACTTGAGAAACTCCAGACACTGTTTTACCTGCAACTGTAGGGAAAGGAGGAGAATAGAGGATGTATCTCTATAGAGCCACAACAATATGCACACACACACACACACACACACACACACACACACACACACACACACACACACACACACACACA